CGTGCCCAGACTGTCTAATGGCAGTCCAATGATAGCCAGTGACCAACGATTAATTCATACGCCATTTGTTCCCTCAGGATACTGGAGCCCATGTGCATCATTGGTTTGGAATCAGGGTTTACCGACTCCCCTAGGTGGATTTTCCGTATCCACCAACCCGGTTAAAGCGCGGGGCATTCACTTTTCATCCTCTCAATTTGGTAAACAACAGTAATGCTACGAGGTGGCAGTGAGTAGGACTTCCCTGTCAGAGGCTATATATTCGCGTGGTCATGTGAGATCATTTCGAGAGGAAGAGCTGACTCTCCCCACTCTAAGCCATATCGGGGGCTGAAATATATTAGTTGGTTTTCTTATTGAAAATGAAACGGAATCTTATACAGATTACGAATAAATGTCATTAGGTACTAATGATGCTCACAATTTCTTTATTCGATTTTGTATACTAGATCAAAATCATTCACTGCACAGATTTAAAAGAATAATATAACATCTTTCCCTATTTCTTTTTAAAAAAATGATCGAATTTAATTGTCATAGTTTCAAATATACAACTACAGAGATCAAAACGATAGTGATGTTAGTGAGTGAATTACCTAACATATAGTAAGTTGAAACGATTTAGAAAATTGTATTCTTAAACAACAAGTATAATAGATAGTTGTTAATGTTACATGTAAATTTACTTTAATTCATTTCATTTGCTGTTTCTATGATCATATCAGAAAAATATACACTTTAACTGGTCGTAAATGTAGACAGGAAATCCATTATTTCATTCGTTTCATTACTGAGTTTAGGATCATCTTGTAAGGTTTTATTTATGATATAATTTTAGTTATATTGAAGTCATATAAATTTCATATGATGTTTTTCTAGACAAATTTCCTCTTATGAATCGTATTCTTTCCCTTTTAATTTAGATTTGTCAACATTGCAACGTTACTACGGTGGTGTTGTAGAGATTTTAGGATTTTACGCTTTACATCATGAACTGACTTTACTGAGAATCATGTACTCATTACTGATTAATTACAAAAGCTGATTTCTGCAGTTCTATTAACTGACTAGTGGAATTAAATGAACTCAGATATAAAGCAGTTACAAATAAATGGTATTGGAATGTAGTTGCCCAATACTATAAAGTTAATAAAGTCAGTATGTTTACGCTGGACACCAGTTCAGTGGTTTAAAGGTAGAAAAAACTCCAAATGATGTCTGGAAAGTCTGCGTTCAGACTCCAGTTGGGTATTAAATACTCACTAGTGAGGAGTCTCATGATAGAATTTTCTTGCTTTCAACATTTTTTTACTATGATCAGTTCAAGATATAAACTTTGAAACACTTTAATGTGTTAAAACATATTATATAGGCGATTAACTAAATTGGGAAAACATTTATTTTTGTCAGTCTGCATTCTTATTTGTCATCATTTTACCAGCGATTTAAATATACATGAAAATATTATTTACAGGGGAATGTTAATTATCGTTCATTCGTTCAAACAATTTCTAGAAAATGATATAAAACATTATGAGTTGATGTGAATGGTAAAAAATTACATAACATAGATAAAAAAGCTTGTTTGGTTCTAATGAAAATAGATACCTCGTTCTTAAAAGTTGGATTCATTATTCGATCTAAGACAGATCATCATTGAAAACCTGGTCACACTAGATGACTGTTTCGTCTTAGCAGTGGATTCCTAAGTGATGTATATCCACCATACGACACGTGGAACTAGAACCCAGGACCTTTAGTCTCGTGAGCGAATGTTTAACGTCCAAAAGACTGGGCCGTTATCAGGTGATCTAATATCTAACTCCAATCGATTCATGATATTGCGCAACTCTTGTATTTAGTAAGTTTTTATCCTAACTGCATACTGTAAAGATTACTATAAACAGAAAACTAATACATATTACAGACACTAGTGAAATTCAAGCGACTAGAAATCATGTGCCATGCAACTGAATTGAATTTTCTTTATAAAATACTTTGTTATTTTTAAAATAAAAACTTATCAAATGACATAATGATACATTAAGAGGAAAACGGTACAGTATGTATTGTGTCAAGGAAATTTCATGGGACTCATTTCTCAAAAACACAACTTAATGTAAATGTATATAGACAGGAAAGTAGAGGTTTTAAATGTTTGTTAACCATTCTACTAAATGTTGTAATTAATAAATATGAGTTGAGAAACTTTATATAGATACATACTTAAAATATCTGTTCAACCATTTAGTTGCAATGGAGTTTAATAACAAATATATCTGGCTAATCATGTGATACAAAGTTGACTATTGAATAAGTTCTACAACATTTCTGTTATTCGTATGAATAATGTCATGTATTTATGTCAGGATAACATTTGTTATATTGAATATATATATAACTCCGCCTGTAGCTCCTCCATGGGCTACTACCGATCTCAAACCTGGATAAAGGAAGAGGGTTGAGCATGGGGTTTAGCGACCCCATCCCGTAGTAATATTTTGTGGTTCATAATTCTTTTTTATTTAATGCATATAGTTTATCTTATAATTTTCCTGATGATCTAAACACCTAAGTATATTACAAAAGTAAGCAAAGTTGGATAGTGGCTAGCAGTGGAATTTAGTTGGACGCGCGTTTCGTCCTATTTGGGACTCGTCAACTGGATGTGTCTGCATCTCAGAATTGATGTTCACTCACCTCGAAACACTAGATAACCGTTTCCTCTAGTATTGGATTGCTAAGTAGTACGTATCCACGATCTGAAAGGTCGGACTCAAACCCAGTATTTTCAGTCTCGTGCGACCGCTTAACCCTTAAACCACTGAGCTGATATCCAATGATTTTAATGTCTAACTCCAATCCATTCATGAATTTATACAACCTTCATCTATTTTTCGAGGTAGATAACTATCTTACACTTGACACGGATTGAACTCTACTGGTCGTGGCTCGTAAGTTCAACTATGGAAATACTACAATACTACAATTTTTCCAATTGATTTGTGATTGAACATGAAATTCATATCTTTTGACCTGTATACATTTTGTCCTATTTATTTTAAAATATTCATTTATCTATTCGAGTTATATGCAGGTGCAAAAATGTAAACTAAGCTCATTTGAATGGTGTAACTCGTTTACCTTGCTACTCGGTACATTTCTGTAAATCAGAATCACATCATTATTCAGATAATTTTAAAATGTTTTACTTATAAATTCCTACTAGGAAGGATATTAGTTATTCTTCACATTTCATGCATAATATTTATAACCAAACTAACTCTACTTAATGAGAAATTTATAATGAAAGAAAATTTAGTTTCGTGGATTCACGTAGCACATTTTCTTTGTAACTAACAACTGATTTAGATTAAGCTTATTCTAAGTGAGATTTCAACGGAAATATTTACAAGGAAATTTAACATGCAAAGACTTCATTGGTTGTTGATACTATTGAAATTCTCTCAAACAAAAAGAGTCAGAAAAATAGTTTGTCCAATAGTTTAATAGATATTTTTTGTCAATTAGGATGATTTTGTAATTGATAATACCAGTATTCCTTGATAAGAAAAATTTACATTCAACTACTACAATCTCGAAAAATCCTAATGGTACTAGGAATCACATATTTACATGGACTTGCTCCTGGTGAGAAGCTGTAATCAGTGGAGTCTAATCCGTGTCAGGTGTGAGATAGTTATCCACCTCAGAAAATGGTTTAAGGGTTGTGTAAATTCATAAAATCGATCGACGTTTGACATTAATATCATTGGATGTCAGGTCAATGATCTAAGGGTTAAGCGTTTTCGTACGAGACCGAAAATACTGGGTTTGAGTCCCACTTTTTAAATCGTAGATACGTACTACTGAGTAGTCACACACTAAGACGAAATGGCCGTTTAGTGTTTCAAGGTTTTCAATGATCGTTTAGCTTAGATCGACTCGTGATTTTAACAGTTAAGTAACACAATCTCCACATATCCTCATACTGGTATGATTCAGATATATATTTGAAAACATTCCAGTGCGACTGAATGACCTGTAAGCAAACATATTCTGAGCAGGGACTCATCGATTTTTAATTATGCATGTAATGAGATTGTTCTATTGATTTTTGTTTAAAAGTTATCCTCATTCATTTTTGGTTAAATTAAGAATTAGTTAGATAATCAAATCATTCTAAATAGTTTCTATAAGTTCCAACTTATAATGTGTATGAGCAAATGAAAGTGATTAGCCGTTTGATAGAAATCGGTATACAGTTTTCAATCATTTTCTATTTTTGACATTAATTAAGGAGATTCAATATTGATTTAGTTGATTTTAAGATTCAGTAATCAACAAAAATAATTACTCTGAATGGGTTTTGTGGAGATTAAGTATTTTCATAGTTGAAAGCGTGAGTCAATTGAAGCTAAACCACCAAGGAAAACCTTAAAGCACTGGACAGCCGTTTCGTCCTATTGTGGGACTCCTCAGCATTGACCAGTGGAGTTCAAACCACGTCTGTTGTGAGATATCAACTCAGTGAAAACAATTAATGAACGGTTGTTCAACTTCGTTTATTGGTTGAAGTTAGACATAAACATCATGAGATGCCGACTCAGTGGTCTATCTGTTAAATGCTGTGGCGTGAGACTGGTAGGTCGTGAGTTCGAAACTCGCGAGGCGAGGTTGTGGATAGGCACTGCCGAGAAGTCTCAAATTAGGACAAAACGACCGTCTAATGCTTCCAGGTTTTCCTTGGTGGTCTAGCTTCAATTGACTCACGCTTTCAACTATGAAAGAAAAATAGAACAAAAGTCAAATAAGCTATGTCACTTAGTTCTTTTGGAAGCAGACTAATTATTCTACTGAAATATAATGATCTTTTAAATTTATAATACCCCTCCTAAAGATTACAATCAACGAATCATCATAGTTAAATGAATCAATTAAATTAATAATTAATTGTTTATACAATAATTAGATTATTATTATGGATTAGAAATACTTACGTATCTGTTATTTTACAGCATATTTGTTTACCTAATGGTCCACAACAATATTTCATATCTTCTGATTGATTAGGTTGTGGACAATAGAATTTTCCAGAGTTTATTAAAATAATTTTTTTACCAGTAATATTATTATTACTATTAGTAGTAGTGTTAGTACCATTATTTTGATTTCCATATTTATCTAAATATAACCATTTTTGTTTGGATTCATTTATACACCATATTACTCTACCAATTACTGGTGTAAGATTATCTTTCCATAAATCATTTTTTAATCCATTTGTTGTTATTAATTTATTATAAGCATTATAATAAGTAGTATTATGAAAAATGATTGAAGTTAATGATTGATTAGTAACTAATTGTTTATCATGTATTGGTAAACATTTCACAATGATTACATAATAATCAATCAATAATAAAATATAAATAAATTTATTCAAATATAAAATAAACATCTTGATTAACATGGAAAAGTGATTCTTTATGAATAGAATCATTAATTTATGGAATAGAATGTTTACATGTTTATTTGTTTGTTTGTTTTTCTTTTTCTATTTATTCCAAAAATCATTGAGCAAAATGATGAATTTAACTACTCATAGAATTTATGAGTATTCCTTTTTTCTTTTATGTTATTGTTAATATACTTTGATCGTTTTGATTTCTTGCATTTTGATTGGTGGATTGTTAATTTATAAAAAAGAAAAAAAAACAATCCTCAAATTCATATAAACTTATTTTTGATTGGTTAATTGTGTTTTTTTATTACTTCTTTTGCTTCTTCTTATTCTTCTTTCTTTACATGATTTTTGTCATTATTAGTTGAGATATAGTTCCAATCCTTTTTTTAATAAATTTATTTTAAAACGGTACAATAGAATATATATTTGAAAATTTTGTTACAGTATAAGTTCTGTGAGCACATATGAAGAAGGAATAAAATTGATGATGTAATAGAAAGATTATAATACCAGATTACGTAATGTGAGTAACAATGATTAAAGTTTTTATGTGTGTGCAAATAGAAAGCCTTGTAAAATCAACGAGTTATCAACGGATGATAATGTTGACAAAGTAAGATGGTTAAAAAGTTTTTGTTACAATAATCAAATGTTATAGATGCGTTAAATCAAATGAATAAAATCATTTGGATATTGGAAGTGATTAATGAGAGAGGGAGATATTTTTGAGTACGAAATATGATAATAATAGTTTAAGGCCAATATAACGGTAAGGATAAGACACTTCTTTTGTACTCACAGCTCTGGCTTCATTTCAGAGAATATGTTGTTTTAAGGAGTTGGATACTAAATAATTGAGGTAGATTGGATGAATTGTATAAACAATGTCGAAATCAACCGGTGGATGAGAAGAGTGATTAAAGTCGATTAGATGTTTAAGAATTTAACTTCTAACTGCTTTAAATAAATAATATATTTGTAATATACCAATGAGTAGAAAAATTAGATTTTCTGACGTTTCGTGACTCAGTGTAAACCACTTCTTCAGAGAATAAATAACCAAATTAACATTAATCCAAGTTTAAATAGTACAACGGAACAATCAAAGAATATTAGGTGATCAATCAAAAACAGGTCTGAATAAATCAATGTTACGTCATTTCATTTCGGTCAAGGTGATTCATAAGCGACATGGATGTAATTTTGTGTGTATGTATGCACTGTTAATAATGACAAATGTGTGACCTTTAAAATGAAAAAGAATAGAGTTTAATTTGTAATGTAATGTTGTGAAATTGTAAATGATATCAGACTGAGTGACTAGGATAGATGGTCCAGGTAGGATGTATGGTAAGGTGTTCCTTTCTATTGAGAGCTGTGTGATTAAGCATTATATGGAAAGCTTCAGCTACACTTCTTTCTTTGTAGTTGGAAAAACCTTTCAATTTCTACCAGTTCATAATTCTCGTGATAAATGACAAGCTTGCCGTCTATATATCTTATGTATAGATTAAACCGATTGATAATCGAGCTAGCTTGGTTGTTTTCCAGCTCAGACATTAAAAGTATGCTTATATTGGGCCCAACGGAGACCCCATCAAGATCCCATTGTTTGTCTCTATATTTCATTGTTAAAACTGAACTGGACATTCAAGGTACAACATGACAATACTTCTTCAAGTGCTCAGTCGACAGGTCTATATATATGTTATTAGAACCAATGTTATTATATCCGAAGAAGATTAAATTATGGGTAGCTTCTGAGGATTATTTGTAGACTGTTACATTATATATTCTTATTGTATAACTATTAGGTAACTATAGCATATCAATACCCATATCCCCTTAATTATAAGCTTTTATCTGACCTATTGGCGATTGTTATAGGAAGTGTTATTTTTAAGTTATTCCCGATTAATTGGTTACACACTTTCACAATCACATTCACTCTTTGGCTTGATCTTGTATGGTTGTTATTTTAAATTTTATGGTATGATATGGTTTGCTTGTATATAAACCAAGTATGTCTGAAATTTATGATTCATACAGTGTGAGCTGATATTGATGTTTTGGACTGAAGCGTTTGGGTTAGGCGAGAAGCTACTTTCTCAGAGTTGACTGTAGGCTGCCCGTACTGATCTATGCGTCATTGGTTGGGTACAGTGCCAAGGTTATATAAGTCGTGTTCTAATTGGCGATTTAGTCACGTGTTAAACTAACCAGACATAAGTCATAACAAATATAGTTATATATGTAGCATAAAGTTTCAGTTAAAATTACGCTGGTGAACAGAGAACGATGACATGAGACGACATGAGTTTCCCGAAAGTATTAAGGTCTTTAATACTATCATTGTCTAAGAAAGTATTTATTCTTCATTTCGAAATAATATCAAAAAAAACAGTAATGCTTTTATTACATTAAACGAGTGTATATGCTTTATATCGCCTTTACAGGAACGTTTTGATTGAGATTGATGATGATATAAACATGGATAAATAAAATTCCCGTATACGAATAATATCTTTAGAAACATAGTTGAAATCATGAGTCAATTCAGGCTAGACAACCATGGAAAAACTAGAAGCACTGGAAGGCCGTTCCGTCCTATTTTGGGACTCCTCAGCAGTAAGCTTCCACGATCCCGCCTCTCAAGATTCGAACCCAGGACCTACCAGTCTCACTCTAGAGTTTATAACGTACAAATAAATAACCATCCTTACAGTTAGCAAAATAAATTGTTAAATTTAATCGTTCTTATTAAATATATGCTGTTGAATGGCATCGTATAGGTTTTATGAAAGTCGTTCAAGGTGGTGAACTTGTAAGTTGCGTCTAATATGGTAGAAACATTATCTAAATACGTAAAATGCCATAACTTAATTGATGATTTTTTGGTATATGGAATTTAGATTAACAAGTGAAGTAGCTACGATATGCTTGTGTCTGTATCGTTGTGCGAACCCTCCAAACATAATTAATTGATAACTTACATTGAAATTTCATTCTTTTAATATTGTTTGGTATGAAAATGAAAATGAGTGGCAAGTTGTACGTTAGTTCATAAAATCTTGTTCATTCATGATTTATAAGATTTATAAGTTAGTTGCAGTTATGTTGATGAAGGTTATTCGTCAACTGATTGTCAACTTATTTTCGCTTAACAAATATTCCGAACAATATACAATACACGAAGATGCAGCTGCAACCCCAATCCTTTATAATTCGATTTTAACTAATTCTAATAAAACACTGTTTAATGCTATCTCTGTTGTATCCCCTGGTGAATTATGAATGATAACTTTTGAGGATTATTTACGGAGGAATGTAATATGTATGTTTCCTATTGTATAATTGTTGTATCAATAGCTTTATTTTGACCTTTGACCTATTATCGTACGATTCTTGAATTATTATCAGTTTATTGATTACTTTCCCCCCTATTAACAGCCACATTTGGTCAATTATTGTACAAATGTTATTTTCTATTTTTTGGTACGATGTGGTCTGTTTGGTTTTGTATATAAACCCATTATGTTTGTGAATAATGATTCATATTGCCGAGGCTATTATTAATGTTCTGGACTTAACTGGCTGGGCTAGGCATATAGCTGGACCGAGTTGTACTCAAGACTGCTCGTACGATTTTATGTATCATTGTTCCGATCAATAAATTGACTCCTCTCTAATTGGGCGTTCATATACTAAAGAGGGCATGCAGGCAATCTATATAACAACTGGTAACTCACACATTATAACAATCTCTATTAAAAACTTAACAATCTCCACAATTGTATACCAATAATAATCATGCACTTACTAGTGACTAGCTTCGAGAGGTTATTCTCTCAGTTGTATTGAGAAGCCGCGACCAGTGGAATTTAACCATGTCGGGTGTGAGACAATTTCACAATGAAGATAATGGGAGATGATCACACAATATCATGTATTGGTTGAAGCTGGACGTAAACACTGTTGGATGTCAATTTGGTGGTTTACAGGTTGAGCGTTCACGCGTGAGACCGACTGTTGTGGGTTCAATTCCTGATGGCGAGATCGTAGATGCGCATTACTGAGAAGTTTCACACTAGGACGGAATGACCATTCAGTGCCTACAGGTTTTCAATGAATGATCTAATGTTGATCGTTTCATGTTGTCAATTATTTTACATTTTCTGTTCCAGAACATTTTTTAACCTTTGAAATACAAGAAAATATTTTATTCAAATATACTGAACTTATTTCTAATTTATTCTGATTGGCGTCATTTTACTAAAAGTGTAAACGTTTATTTTAATTTATAATTAAGTGTATATATAAATAGATAAACTGTTTGATAATTATTGTTGGTTTTATGAATTCAGTAAACTAGGAAGCATTGAAAATGTCATTTTACAGTCACGAAATGTCAGAAATACAACACTAGTGACTGGCTCCAAAAGATAATTCCTGGAGTTCTAGTGAAAAGCAGTGATCAGTGGAGTTTAACCAGGTCTGTTATGAGATAGTAACTCACTGAAAACAATGGTGGATGTGTCGCTCAATTTCGTGGACTGGTTGAAGTTAGACATTAACATCGTTGGATGCCGGCTCAGTGGTCTAGAGGTTAAGAGCTCGCGCATGAGACCGATAGGTCCTGGGTTCAGTGCTTCCAGGTTTTCCATGATGGTCTAGGTTCGATTGACTCATGATCTCAACTATTAAAAATATATTTATTATTAGCTTTCTATCCAATGCTTACTTGGTTTGAAACTATCAAGTCAAACCTCTTTGGATCGATATCTACAAAATAATGAAGTTTAGAAAACCTTTTTTTTCATTGCTTTGAACTAGTTGATTAATAATTAGTCACTGTATTTATCATTGCAGTTGTATGTTTAATCATGTTGTGGTGTGGTCTACTTATATTCACTTAAGTAGTTTGTGGTGATGGTCAGACATAGAATGTATTTTGGCAGAAGGTCGATAAGGAAAGAACAGTAATGAAGCGCAATCGGTACGGAAATGAATCTACAATGAAATCAGTGAAGATGAACTGGTACGTGCAGAGGAACAGTTAAGATTGAGATAATTGATTGTTATTTTGCAAATTAACTGTTAATGTATGATTATCAGAATTTAGTGAGAGAGTTTGTAATATGTGCCTACATATATTTGATTGTTCCCACTCGTGTTCT